CACGAGGGAGACAAAGGCGGCCGGTCGGGGGGGCGGACGCGGTGCTGGCCACCCACCCCTCTTCGTGTGCCGTGTCGGACTTCATAGGGTGCGACTCGCTAACAGCACTTGCCCCAACAGCCTGTACAGGCTACACTAGGAGGGAGGAATCACTGTCTTTGTCTTTATCCTTTGCAGAGAGTGCGAGCGGTACGAGACCTGAGTGTGTGTGTGACAAGGTGCACCTAGCCTGGCACACGCGCCGTGGTTACGTCACCGACAATTAGTGACTAACGTCGATCTGTTTGTTGTTGTTGTTGTTGTGTAAGAGAGTGCCAATGAATGAATGAATGAGAGTCTCGTAGACTAAGGCATGTGTCTTCGTTCATTGTCCAGGAGACGTGTCCGATAACAGCGTTGTCATCGATTTCACTCGATGAATCCGCTCCATCTCTCCACTGCAACAGAGACAATCGAGTTAAGAGAGAGACACCGATTGAAGCCGTAGGCGATTTCATAGGGGAGGGGTCGGTTCCGGGGGAGGGGGGAGGGGGGTGATAGGGGGAGGAGTGGATGGGGAGCGGCAGTGTAGCGGCGAGCGCGCTGAGCTGCGACCAACACAAAGTGACGATCATCTGAACCGGTCCTGGGGCCTCCCCTTAGGTCGACTCAGCCTCAAATGAGTACCCTGTGCGGTGTGTGTAAACATCGCCACTCGGAGAGACAAAGGCGGCCGGGGGGGGGGGGTTGGGGCGTGGTGCTGGCCACCCACCCACCCACTGGTGTAGGGTGTTTGGCTGCTATAAATGTCCACGTGGATCAGCCACTTCACGTGTGGCCATGCCGCCTTCTGAAGGAGAGGGGCACAGCTCAGCGGGGCCTTACTTGGGGGTAATAAAGTGCTCGCACACAGCACTTGCTCCTCCCGTCTGTTCACACTATACGGGGGATCTTTGTCTTTGTCCTTTGGGGTGGGAGGGGAAAGGTGGGGGGCAAGTTGCGTGGTGGATGGGGGGGGGGTTAGGGCTAAGAGGAGATGCCCCTGCAAGTAAACTCGCTGCTGGCCCCGATCGAGATGCATGGAAGCACTTAGTTGTAATTAATTTCTGTATCACAATTACGACGTGAGCTATTAGGGCACAGCGGGGGCTGGGGGTATGAGAGAGTGGGGGGAGCAGTGGGGGGGGGGGGGGGTGCGTGGGGGGATGGGGGAGGGCGAGGGGGGCGAGGGGGGGGGCGTCTTATCCCTCGCGGGGTGAATGGGGATTTCATTGGGATGGTGAATGGGAGCCAGAAAACCCTTAATGAAATCACGATGCTGATTGGGTGGATTGCTCTACGTTGGAGTGGCCAGGCGAGGATGTCATCCAGCGGCAGATTGATGATGATGATGATGGGAGAGGGCAGGGGCAGTGATGAGGGTCTTGGGAGCTGGGGGAGGAAGAGAGCAGAGGAGTTAGAGGTGAAGTTGGGTGGGGGTGGTGGTGGTGGTGGTGGTGGGGGTATTATTCCCATTAGGCGTTGTTACGATGCATCATCGATTCAGGTCCAGGCAGAAGGAGCGCAACTCCGTGTTTTAAAAGGATCTCTCTTCATTTACAAATAGATTCAATTATATGAACTGTGTATGAAGAGGAGATTAAAAGCAATGAGACATGAAGAACAATGGTAATTCGTGCGCGCGGAATGATGGTGGTGGTGACTACGCTGCTGCAGTTGCTGCGAGTGGCGTTGCCTTTTACCCAGCACTGCGGATACAGCAGCTAGGGTTGGTGGATCACACACTGATGATGTTGTGGAACTCCCGTCTTCCCGTGGGCGTCGAGGAGGAGGTGCCGTACCCCTGGCTCGCCAGGAGAAGGCGGTGCAGCAGCAAGTGGTCTTATCGCCACCTGTTTATTTCATCTGTACGGGGATAGAGCGTTGCTCCCTCGCGCAAGGCGTGGGGTTTCTCCCGGGTGTCTCCGATATCCTCCCCACACGAACAATAAATGCGACTCGTCGTTATTTGCAGCTGAAAACATCTTACAAACTACTGGACGTCTGTGAACCAACTGGACATCTGCGAAAAAAAGTTTAGCTTCATA